TCTGTTTTTCCCTCTCTCTTCCACTCTCTCTAAAAAGCAATGGGAAAATATCCTTGAGTGACGATTAAAAAATAATAACAACACCTTGTGAGTGCAGACCCTGATTCATATGGTCCACTCCTCAGTCATTGTTTGTAAGCACCTGGTCCTAAGATGACAGAGTGGGAGGGGACTGTTGGCTTTGACTATGGAGGCACACCTGGCCGCCAGGGGTGGGCATTCTGAGGACCTGGCCCGGCCATGACATTGGCTTGAAGAGAAGTAAGTGCTATTGTTCACCCTTTTGCACTCCCCATCGCACAGGTGAAAGCTCGTCGGGAAATTGCAACCCGGAGAGGAGACACTCACAAATGATTTCAGAAGCTTCATATGTTAGAACGTCAGGTCTTAGAATGGAGAGCGTTTTCCCCAAAGCACTGGGCACCTGAGAGCAAACGCTCACCTACAACTGTGGCAGAGCCCAGTTTCTAACAAAATGCTGTCCCCTTGCCGCCTTTGCCAATCTGTCCCTGCAACTCTGCACTGAAAGCTGCACCGGGGCTGGGGACTCGAACTGCTGAGCCCCAACGCACAGGCTGGGTCTCAGCACAGACTATCTGCTTCTGAGTCCCAGGAGAGACTGAGACCAGGATCCTACTCACCGATCCCTACCTCTCCTTTGTGCACTCCTCCCCCTGCACTGTACCCAAGGGCGCACCTGGGCTCTAGGGAACACTTCTTTCTTAGCTGGCTCCCTGCAGCCCGGCCAGGCAGCACTCCCCTCTCCCGTGTATTCCTTGTGGCAGGGTCGCCCCATCAGTTAAGAAGGAGGAAAGTTGGAAAAGGGCATCTGCGAGACCAGTATGGCTCAGTGGATAGCGCGTCGGCTTGCGGACTGAAAGGTCCCCGGTTCGATTCTGGTCAGGGACGTGTACCTTGGTTGCGGACACATCCCCAGTGGGGAGAGTGCAGGAGGCAGCTGATCGATGTTTCTAACTCAGTGATGTTTTTAACTCTATCTCTCTCTCTTCCTCTATGTAAAAAATCAATAATTATATTTTTTAAGAAAAGAAAAAGGGCATTTTGGAAGTTGGGTGTCCCGAGCAAGGCGGCCACCGACCTGGAAGGTGAGAGCTGCGGAGCAGGGTGGGTGTGTCACAGGAAATGCTGCCAATTCTGGGGAGTGCAGGCTAGCGTGAGGAGCTGCGGCTTTGGTCCCTCACAACACACAGCGCACGTAGGGCTAATTCCCTCTGTCTGGAAACCTACTACTAGACAGGTATCCTTGCTTGTCCCACAACAGCCCTGATATTTTTGCCAAATTTGCCGCGTTTGCCGCATTGGGACACTCCTCCTAGCGCATCGCGTGCCGCGCTCAGACCTGGGGATCCGGGAGACAGGCAGAAGATCCTGGAGATCTTGGGGACAGTGAGAAGTTTCTCTCTGCATTTTACCCGCTAAGAGCAGCAACTCAGGAGAGAGCGGGACCTTCCAGGTGGACTTGTCGCAAATAAAGCTCAGGGGAATGAGTCCTGAAACCAGCTGTAAACAGTGTGAGGAGGTTCTGGTGTTTTGGAGATGCTTAGTCTTGCGATGCAGGTAGCAATGATGTGCACAGGCTGCCGGCAAGCCGGTATGTGGATGTGAGCACAGGAGACCCTGGGAGGCAGGTTTGGGCAGGATTCCTATGGCCCCGGGTGCTGTCCCAGTGTCTTTTAGCCATTGGGGGAGTGGGCTTATGTTTGAAGAGAGTAATGGGTGTGTGGGTGGGGAAGAGTGCGACTGGAAGTGACAGTGAGCAACTGCCTCTGCAGGGATTCCCATCAAGCCTGCCTTGCTCTCTATTGGAGAACTGAAGTGCAGGAAATAGGCGTTTACGTTTGGCATGCGCAAGTCCTGAATGCGCGCGCACTTTCACATGTATGCGCCCGTCATGGATGTGTATGTAGTTGTAATGTATGCTCGCGGGTCTGCATATGGGAGCAGGTCCGGAACTGCACACCAATGAGGCACCTTGGCAAACAGCTTCCGGAAACAGTGGCAGCTGGGCAAATGGCTCTAACAGGCAGATGAGCAAAGGTGATGGATGGTGCGTAGAGGAGGAGATTGCTGGGGCAGCTTGGAAACCGGGGGAGCATGGGTGCTCAGCACCTCCCTGCTTTGGCTGAGCGGGACATTCTATGCACCTGAAGAATCACCCAGGGGAAATGAGTACTTCTGGTCAGTAGGTGGGCAAGCAACATGCTAAGGAATCCTAGATGTGAGCCACACACCTTCCAGATCAATACCTAGCTGGGAACAGGGTGAGGCAAATTACTAATAACCTCATTCCTTTAGGGCATTGGATTCCCATTTTAAAGATGATTGTATTGAGGAACTCACTTGTCCTTAGTCTTACCGCCAGGAATTTGCTTAGTCGGAATTGAATTCAGTCTGACAAAGTTCTTGCTGCAACAAGCTGCCCTCCTTGCAAGTGATTCCAGCTGCAGGATTAAACACCTCGCTAGGACCCAGAACCAACCCTCTAACGCATTAATCCTAAAACCCTCACTTGGATGAGGGTTGAAAGACCGATTTGGGGGGAGGCAAAGTCCCTGTGATCCTGGTTGCTGCCCTACAAGATCGCTCCGCTAGGGATGGAATGGGATGCACATTCAGAACCGGATGGAACTGAACAGGTGAAATTTACAATTGACGTCAAACTGTCCCCCGGTTCGTGGGTGTTTTCTGGTGCCCATCACTCCCCCTTCTCCTTTCCATCAGTGACCTCAATGCAAATACAAGCGGGATGATCCTGTTGGATGCTACAGGTTCCGGAAGCAAGTGGGTGACACAATCCTTCTTCCCATTGGTTGCCCGGTGCTCCTGGATTCCCCCTCCCCAGACCCAGAGCGGGAATAAAAGGAGCTGCTGCTGTTGGGAGAAATGGAGAGACTTCCCAGGTGGGAGTGCCAGTGCCACTTCCACAGGAACACCTCCACTCGTCCACTGCTGCTGCCGCTGCCACCGCCGCCCGCCACCACCACCTGCTGACAGGTGAGTCCCTGAATGATTCTATTTCTTCCTCTCTCCCCCTAGGTCTCTCTGCATTACTGTGCCTCTTGATCGATCCCTGCCAGTCTCAAAGTCTCTCTCCACTTCTGTCTGGGTCTTTTTTATCACACAATTTCTGTTAGTCTTTGATTCATCCAAGACTCATTTCCCAGGTAATGTTGAGTCCAGGGACTCTGCTCCACTCTTCCCGGGCAGATCCGGCTCTGGTCTAGCTGTGTTACTGCAGTTGGAGCGTGCTTAGTCTCATCTCTGACGCTGGAGTTGTACTCAGGAAGAGCGGGATGCAGGAATAACTTTGTTCATGCTTAGGGGTCCCAGGGAAATTGGTTCGGAACCTGGGCCAGCGTGAGTGGTGAAAAACTAGGCTAAACAGACAGTTTGAGTCCTGCGGCGCCCCAATTAAACTCTCCGTTAAACTCGGGGACTCTGCCAAAGTGTAGACCAGCTAAGCAGTAAAGTGTGATCTTGTTTCTCAGAGATTTCAATTGCAGATATTTCCTCTCTTCTTATACTCTCCCTCAACATCCCCTTACAGTCCTAAATGTCTGCTCAGATCTGTGGGTTTATAAAACTTCAAACTGGTGCAGATGCTGACATGATTGTTCCTTTGCAGAGAGACATCATGGGCTTTGGAAAGTTCTTACCCTTCCTGGCTCTTGGCATCTTGGTCCTGTACCAGGTGGACATGCTCGAGGCAGTACCACTCAGGTAAGACAGCCCTGAAAGTAGTGCATTCTGGAACCATTTTTAGCTTTAGCACTACCTGTAAGTTTTTATCATTTAATTTTTAATGTTGGCTATATGCAAAACCATGGTCACAAACATTTCTAAAAAGTTCATCTTTCACAAGCCTACATGATCTGGATTCAGCACAACACTGCTTGGAGGTCACACCAGTGCCTGGCTCCTGATGAATCATACCCTTTGCACTGGGAGTTGAGGTGGCCCCTTCCTTAGAGGAAACCCAAGAACCTGGAAGCTGGATGCTTATCCTGGGAGGGGGCAGGAAGGACTCAGAGCTTGCTATTTCTCCTCAGGTCTGTCATGAAGAGAGATGAATTCCTGGATAGTCTGATGAGGGAGGTTTTGAAGAACATGGTCAGTGATCAGGAGCAGGCAGAAATGGATTCCAGGTAAGGCTCCACACCTGCCCAGTAAAAACAGCTGTGCTAAGGAGAAGGAAAACACCTCCAGAAATCAGTACTATAAACTCTCTATGGGGAGTTATGAAAATTCCCAAAAGGCCAATGATTATCTGCTGTGATAATTGTGGCCCGTAAGAGCAACACTTAAGGTTCATTGTAATGACTGTCCCATGGGAAGGCTTTGCCCCCACCAGCCTCTTACTTACAGGTCTTCTGTTTTTCTCCATCATCTAAAACAGCGCTGCTACCCTTAAGAAAGGCTGCAACACAGGCACCTGCTTGACCAATAAGCTCGCTGTGATGCTGAACAAGTCCAGAACTGGTGGTTGGAACAGGCTGCTGCCCCCTACCCTGTTCCACCATGGCTAAGGCCCTAAAGGAAGGCATCCCAGGAAGAAGGTGACTATTCTTGTACTTTTAGATGGGAGGGTGGATGACTGGATATTGCAAGGGTGCAGTCCACACTCCTTGGGCCCTCGTGAATAAAAAATCAACAAGGGAAAGTATCTGAAGAAGGACAGAGAGTCCCCACAGATGAAATCTTTAGATTTGGGGGTTATTTCTGTATTTTATCTTTCTTTTTTTTGTCCAGTGTTCCCCTATGACACTTAGATCATCTGTCAGGAAATATAGATGTTAATAACCTCATAATCAATAAGTAGATAAATTCTAACTTTTGTGTGTGTGTTTTTTTTCTCCTAGATGATGGAAACTGAACCTTACACACTTCTTTAAATTTATCATCAAAACAATTGGAGAAATACTAAACACACATGTGCATGCTACTGAACATTGGAAAGACTCTGTCTTTTTCAAAATAAATTAAATTTAACTGCAAAATAAAGCTATTGAAAATTACCTGGTGTCTTTTATATTTTATTCTATATTCAGTAAATATGACAGCATATATCATTGGCTTATCTGGTAGTAAATCTGGGCAAGTCAGCCAACATGTTGATGTTGGCAATTCTCGGGGGGGGGGGGGGGCATGAAATCACTGCACCCCGGGTGTCTGTGACACACAGTAATGCTGAGCCTCAATGAAACTTTTTCTTTAAAGAAATCTTGTCATTTGTGAACTTCATAAAAAAAAATACTTAAAAGGCGTCCCTCCTACTACTGATGCTGCATTATTCCCCCCTCCCTCCAAGAGGAGAGCCTCGGGACTATAAACAATAAACAATTTGTTGACAAGGCTGACTCAAAGGAGGTAAAGGCGACATGCTTGGGATGGGTCCTCAGCATCCTGTACCCTCAGGTTTTAGTAAAATATCCCTTGCTGGAATTAGAACCCTGTGCATCTCAAAGAGACAATTCACATTGATTTTCAGAGTGCCCTGGTCCCAGCTCCAAAGGACATATCTCTTCCCTTCTCCTTAAATCAGGTTTGCCCTTACACATCCCTGCCTTCCCCCGCTCCATAAGAGCCCCCCTTCCCAAATGTCCCAGAGGCTGCAAACCCTTTTAGAAACAATGTCTTGGAGTTAGGAAATGGGAACATAGCCTGGAAGACCTAGAAAGGTCACTAGAGGCCATCAACGCAGAGAAGAAAAGTATATTGCTTAAGGTCCTGCAGTAAGTTTAACTCATACATTTAACAAATACTAATTGAGTATCTGCTATATTCTTGACACTATTCAAAGCACCAGGGATAGAGCAATTAACAGAACAGACAAAGCCCTTACATTCACGGAGCTATAGTCTAACCTGGGGGAAGACTGAGGTGACACATCCTATGAAATCAGACACTTCTCATTGGAGAATCTGGGATATCATAGGGTATACACTGAGTGGGCAGATTATTGTGATCTCTGAACACAATAATCTGGCCACTAAATGAGTGTGTGTGTGTGTGTGTACACACACACACACACACACACATATAAATATATATATATATACAATATATATTAGAGGCCTGGTGCATGAATTCATGCATGGGTGGGGTCTGGGCAGCCAGGCCAGGGGGAGGAAACATGGACGGTTGGCCAGTCTGCCTGCTGGTCAAACTCCTGGTCAAGGGGACAATTTGCATATTAGCCTTTTATTATATGGGATATATACTGAGTGGCCAGATTATTATGCATTCAGAGATCATAATAAATAATAATCTGCCCACTCAGTGTAATGCCTTATTTAAGTAGAAATTTCCCAGTGGCAACATCTCTGGCATCTGCTGGGACTGCTAGTGACACACTGCTGAGTATAACTCTGAGCCAGTATCACTGATGGGTAGTCATTTAATCGAGGTTATTGACATAGAGAAATCAGCCCCTTTCATCCATTAACTCTAGTTACTTCCTCAGGTTCACATAGAATGATGACCCTTGCTCCCATTCAGTCTGTAGTCCACACTGTAGTCCAATTTTGCTTAAAAGGTAGATCTGACCACGTCTCCCTTATCACAAAGTACTGCATCTCACAGAGTAAATACCTAGAGCACTGCAATGGCTCACAAGGTCCCAGCTGATCTGCTCTTCCTCTCCTCTCACCACTTGCCTCATTACCTGCCTAACCTCACCTACTTCTCCCACACACTGGCCTTCTTACTATTCCTCATCCCTCATCCCCCAGCAACAACCCCCTCAAGTGTTTGCACTTGCTGGTTCTGTACCTCTGCAGAATGCTCCTACCCTTGGCCTCGCCCCCTCCAGTTCTTTACTCAAATATCAAACACCCTGGCCCTCCTTTCTGATATTGTATCCTACCCTCCCAACACACCCAAATCCTCCTCTTCTTGCTGTTTCTCTTTATCACTTATTACCTTCTATCATCTACATATATAAAATCCTAACATGCAAACAGACCAAAAGGCAGAACACCCAAACAACCACTTACTATGATGTTGCACTGACCACCAGGGGTGTGTGCAGAACATGGTGAGTATTGGGCACTGCGGGATGGTGGAGCAGGTGAGCAGGGACACCAGACCAAGGTGGGGCACCGGTCGCTATCATCGGGGCAAGCCTATGGTGGTTACTGAAAATTCTTTGCTCCACATGCCATGGTCCTGCCCGACACTCACACCTGCTGTCAGAGCCAGCCCTGCTCGCACCCGCTGCCAGCGCCCAGCACCAGCCCCATTCTCTCGGTGCCTTCAGCAGGTGTGCTCAGTGGCTGCTGGCTCTAATCACAACTCAGGGCTCTCCATCTCTTCCTGCTCCTGAGGCACGATCAGGGCCAACAGCCACTATTCGCATCGGCAGTTGGCACCAGAGCCACCTCTTACACCTGCTGCAGGTGCTGTCCCTGTTTGCACATGCTGCTCAAACAGGGCCAGCGGCAGCAGCTGGAGTGGGGATGCTGGCAGACAGGGAAGTGGGGAAGCTGCGGTAGGAGGGGCAGGGTGGGGGTGTGGAGGATAGATCAAGACCTGCCCCTGTGCCCACCACAGCCTCATGTCCCACAGTTCCTTTCAAGGTGAACGAATTCATACACTGGGCTTCTAGCAGTTCTAGTATTGATATATGTTTTTAATTATTTAGCTTATTGTTTCTATCCCATCCTATAAACAATATAAGTTCCACATGGACCGGGAGATGGCTATTTTGTTAATTGCTAAACCCCCTAACTACAGAGCAGTATGCTTGGTACGAGACAGCACTCAATAATTATTTATTGAGAGGAGTTCAGTCCTTTTCTATTTTATGTTTATGGTCAACTCTCAGATTCCCTCTTGATCTGATTTTCTTCAGGCTAACCTGCTGGCTTTCATCTTCAGCAGTGACTTCATTGGATAGTGACTCCCTTAAATGCCTGAAGACTTCTGTGGTGGCTGCTAGTTACTAATGACTCTACTTCCTGCCTCAAGGCCTCCACAAGTACTATTTCCTCACTTTGATCACTTTTCTCACCCTCCACTTTTTCTCCCCTGAACTAATATGACTAGATTTTCTTCTTCTTTTGCAGTAAATGCAACAGACTGGCAGATACTCTCTAGTTGTTGTATCTATGACTAGGAAGGTGAGTTCAAATCAGGAGGGAAGAAAGACTACTGTAGTCTTGGGCCAAAGGCATCTACTCTCCAATAACAGAGCTCATACTGTATTGAAGTCCCACCAGGACTAATTCTTGACTCAAAGACTGAGAGAAGTGTGATTAATTTGAACCTTCAAAATCAAAGTAAGGTTCTAAGAAGAGATGAAGAAATACATAAGGCATTCAAAGAACAACATGGAGAGACAAAACTCTTGGTGATTCTACTCTAAAAAGAACATGCCTTAGGTATCTGTTGTTATATTAGCCTGGGGTCTAAAATGAGACCTGTGGAACTAACCTGATCTGCAACTTGAACGCATATGCAATCAACACCAGATGAGATCATTCTCACCTGTACCTCATATCCATGACCAGGACAAAATAAATATTTGTGTTTGAGATTTGAGGTTGTTTTTATGTAACATTGTGGTAATAGCTAAATGTACTTTGATAGGAATTGCATTGAAACAGTAGATTGCTTTGTGTATTATAGTATGGACATTTTAACAATATAAATCCTTCCAATCCATGAGCTCAGTATATTACTTGATTTATTTGTGTCCTCTTTAACTTATTTCTTCAACATCTAATAGTTTTCAGAATATTGATCTTTCATCTCTGCAGTTAAATATATTCCTAGGCATTATACTCTTTTTGATATAATTGTAAATGGGACTGTTTTCTTAATTTGTCTTTCTGATTGTTATTATTAGTATATAGAAATGTGACAGAGCCCTAGCTGGTTTAGCTCAGTGGATAAAGCATTGGACTGTGGATTGAAGGGTGCCTAGTCTGATTGCAGTTGAGGACACATGTCCAGTTGTGGGCTTGATTCCCAGTAGGCAGCTGATCAATGATTCTCTCTCATTATTGATGCTTCTATCTCTTTCTCTTTCTCCCTTTCTTCTCCTCTCTGAAATCATTAAAAATACATTAAAAAAAAAAAGAAATGTGACAGATATCTGTATACTAATTTTGTATTCTGCAACTTTACTGGATTAATTTATTAAATCTAATAGTTTTAAATTACTGAATACATTATTCTTTATAGATGTAATTTATTGATTTTAATATCTACTTTTGACTTACATGTATTTTTGGGTCACTTGCTAACTTTAATTTTTAATAGCAAATTAAACTTTTCATTATAATTTATAATATTCATATTTGAGGTTACATTTTTTCATTCTGGATGTGATGCATTACTTTCCCTTTTCCTTTTCATTACCCATTTTACTAGAATTTTCTATTTTATTGGACTTTTCAAAGAACAAACTTAATATTTATTTTTTAATTCCATTATCTTTCTAGTTTGTAATGCAGTAATGTTTTTTCCTGCCCATTTAATTCCTTTCACTCGTATGATTTTGAAAAGTTTGTTCAGCTGGACTCTTGAGATTTCTCAGTGGGTAAGCATTGACCCATGAACCAGGTCAGGTCAGAACATACACTCAGGTTGCAGAGGACATACACTCAGGTTGCAGGCTTGATCCCCAGTAGGGGGCGTGCAGAAGGCAACTGATCAGTGATACTCATCATGTTTCTATCCCTCTCCTTCTCTCTTCCTCTCTCTAAAAATCAATAAAAATATGCTTTTATATTGAGATAAACATCAATTGGCTGGAAATCAAACTGGCACCCTTTTGGTGCACTAGATGATGCCTCACCAACTGAGCCACATTAGCCAGGACCTCTTTGATATGTTTTTCCAGGACCATTACTCCAACCTTCCAATTGATCACTCTGTTTCTATCCTTTTTGCTATATAGACAATTCTGGAATGATCCTTTTGAAACACAAGTGACCTTGTGTCTATCCTTTACTTAAAACCTTCCACAGGCTCTCTATTAACTC